TGATATATTGTTTAGTGTATTATTATACCTGTGTCGGTGGAAAATTTTGACAAAGTTTTTAATTACCTATTTTACCTCTTCGATTGATAAAGTCATCACTTTGTTCTAACAAACAATAGTGACTGGTTGAAACAGCCACTGATGCATATTTTCAATTTGATTCTATCTACTAATGTATTTCCTTCTGCATAGAAAACATCTATAGTATCTCCAATCTTTAAATCTGGCAATGAAACGTCTATTGAAAATTATAGGCCAATATCTATTATGTGTGCCCCAGCAAAATTATTTGAACATATTATATACAGCAGATTATATCAGTTTGTTGAAAAGTATATCAGGGTGGAGCAAAATGGTTTTGTAAGAAATACATCTATTGAGTCAAACTTGTCAACTTACACTCACAAAGCATATGAGGCACTTGAAAACAAATCTCAATTGGATACTATCTATACAGACTTCCAAAAAGCTTTCGATAAAGTAGATCATGATATTTTATTGTTGAAGTTGAGTCATTATGGTTTAACTAAAAATACTCTCAAATTGTTCAAATGCTATTTGGAAAACAGAGATTCTCTTGTAAAATATCATGGTTCATATTCAAGAAAATTTGAAGTTACCTCTGGAGTCCCACAGGGATCAAATTTAGGTCCCTTATTTTTTGTTCTATTTATAAATGATTTGCCAGCAGTTCTGGAATTCTCAGAATGCCTAATGTTTGCTGATGACCTAAAAATTTATAAACAAGTACAAACAGTGAGGGATTGTGTAATGCTACAAAAAGATCTGAACAAGGTTTATGAGTGGAGTTGTGAAAATAAATTATTTTTCAATATTGATAAATGTTCAGTAATGTCGGTTACGCGCAAAAGAGACCTTATTCTCTTCAGTTTTGAACTGAATAGGGTCCCTCTTGAAAGAAATACAGAAATAAAAGACTTAGAGATTACATATAATAATACATTATCATTCAAGAATCACGTAAGAAATATTACAAGAAATGCAAATAAAATGTTAGGGTTTATTATCAAACTACTGTACTACACATTAGTTAGAAGTGAATTGGAATTTGGATCAAATATATGGTTTGGCCAATATAACTCCACATTATATAAATTGGAAAATCTTCAGAATAAATTTTTAAGATATCTTTACTTCAAAAAATATCATGTATGGCCAGACTACCGTTTAGTGAGAACATCTCATTTGAGAGATGAATTCAGGATACTTTCTTTGCAAAATAGGCGCAAAATATGTGTAATATCATTTCTTCACCGGCTTCTTGATAATAAACTTAACTCACCTCATATATTATCGTCAATTTATTTTCACGTTCCAGCCAGAAGGACAAGATCAAATACAATGTTGAATGTAATAATTGATATAGATTGGACAGACTATCTAACAAATTTAAAGAAAAAAATCATTATACAGCTAGTGGCAATGTCTTTGTAGGATCATCACACTTATTAATCAACCCCGTCAGTAACTGATTTAGAATTTTTACTTCTTTTTATTTTTAGTGTATTATATTGTATCTATTATATTGTATGTAATAAGGTCATCCTTGTAATTAGACCTATGTGGTCTGTTAGAGTGAATAAATAAATAAATAAATAAATAAGATGGTAATTCACGAATTATACGAGGTGTATTTCGAATACGTAGTTTCCTAATAGCTATAAAATGTCAGATAAACCATTTTACAATATTCCTATCCCAGGTATGTATCGGGTTGAGCCAGTTGTAAATAAAGCTACACACGAAAATTTCATATTCAGTAAATATATGTTTTATACTAGATAACAAAAATACCACAACACACTGGCTTGTTAGGATAAAGGTGATACTTCAGGCGAATATCCACAGTGATATATTCATTATTCGATATTTTTTCACTAATTTAAAATAAATTCCTGGTATTCTTGTTGACAAATAATCATATATTGCTGCTATAAATGAATAAATTGAAAATCATTCAGGGATTCAATATATCTTCAATTTCGAATATCGTACAAAGAAAAAAGTAAAACTATTATAATAAAAGTCATGTGATTTGACTGTAGTTAACCATAATTTTTACAGGTTTGAACTTCCAGAATAAAAACAGAATTAAAATCTAATGAAATATTAAAAATTATAGGAAATAAATATTCGAATCTATGTATATCTATATAAACAAAACAATAAAATGAATTATTTAATTTGTAAAAGAAAACGAACTTTGTGACCTGAAATGGATATCAATTTATATATTTATACAGGGTACGCCAAAAATTCAGTCACCGTCAAATATCTGCATTGTCTGCGAAGCAGTTTTCAAAAATCTACCGCATACAGATGGGCGCGGTAGGGATACTTTGTTTTACGAGGTATGTTCAGAAAATAACTGGAATTTTTAAATTACACGGGTTTGGTGAGTCCAATTGTCTTTTTTTTGCATTATGTTCGTATTACATGCCCCTGAATTACGATGAACTTTCAGCTGCATTTATTATCTATTTTATCTGTGGTAGCCGCTGCGGTTAGACGTATTTTTAAGAGCTCGGCGATTTTCGTTTTTACAACAAATGGTTCAAAGAATTTGTATGAAATTTCGTTTGAAAATGGCTGTGAAAACGTTGAAGTTGACGAATGTTTTGGACGCCCCAGTACATCAACAATCGATGAATACGTGAGAAACGTGAAAAAAATAGTTATGAACCGTCACTGAATCACTATCGCTGACGATTTGCTTGAAGCAATCCGAAAAAAAATAAACAAAAAATAAAGCAGATATTTGTGGAAGAACAATTCTTGAATTTTGCACCACGATAATGCATCTGTTCACTCTTCATTGGTTGTTCGTGAATTTTTGGCCAAAAACAATGTTGTAACAATGAAGGCATCCTCTATATTCTTCAGACACGGCTCTGTGTGACTTTTTTCTATGTCCAAAACTGAAGGTAATCTTGAAAGGCTGTCGTTTTACAATCATTTATGATATTAAATGCGCATCGCTGCGAGAGCTGAATGCTATCCCAAAGATCGAGTTGAAAAGTGTTCTGAGGATTGGGGACTATTTCGAATTCGACAACGTTAATACATCAATATTATTTTTCAAAAAACGAAAATTTGATTGTTTTTTTCTGAACACACCTCGTTTAATATACAGTGATGGTCAGAATAAAGAATTTCTCTGTTATTAAGTATTCATATATTGAAAATAACCAAGATATCCTATGAAAATAAGAATCTTGATGGCATTTTGGCCTGAAATGGTAGTATGAAAACATGAGCATTGTAATCAATAAATTGTTTACCTATTAATGATGTAAACGTCAGACTAGAAGATTATTTTTTTAGTTATTTTCTGGAAATATAACAAGTTTTCCCTTCTTCCAGAATAGTATGCAATTCATTATGTTCTTTTATTTCAAATGAACGAATATTTAGCCAAATTCGAATTTGAAATAGGGATTTCCAACTGATCAGTCTGTTATATTTAACTTCTGCACTACTGCTTGCTGCCTACAGAAATCTGTACATTTTGCTCCACACATGTACCAGACTGCATTCCTAAAATAGCCTCGAATAAATAATTCGTTTGTGTCCCAGAAGGCTATTCCATATCTAAGATATATGCATCTATCAGTTCTTAAGTATTCACATCTGGCAGTTCAGAACTCTAGTTTATTGAAAATCATTTCGGGAGTACAGACTTTTTAGAGTTTCTGATAATTTAATATGTAAGCTTCAATACAAACCTTGAAATTTTGTTGAAGATGTGTAGGCTAGAGAAGCCCAATCTAATTTTCATCAGCGAACCATATTGATATAATCTGAGAAACATTCACACATGAAAGCAATTTAAATATGAAAAGGCCAATGTCAGAAAATTTACTAAATCGTAATAATATTAGACGGCAAAATTACAAATTTTAAGGTTTTTTCCTCACGCAAAGTGGTTTTTTTGGAAATCTCTTCTGCAGTATATTGAACATCATTTCTAAATGGATGACTCTAGTTCCACCAGTATTAAAAATTATCCAACACATCCAGAGATCCACCAGAACAAATTTAATTGTATTGACTCAAAATGTTAGTGATGTCTTAGATAATCGTGGTCAAGTTATATATACTGATTTTGCTAAAGCATTTGGTCGACTTGCTCACATGATCCTTCTTATAAGGGCTATGATTCTTTCTATTACAATCCTTCATCTGGAGTACCTCAGGGGTCGAATCTCGGACCAAAAATTGCAGCTAAAACCTCCCCGTTAAATTGTCCTCTTAGTTTTTTGATTTGGGTCCTCAACTCTAAGGGCATATTGCTTGTTATTCTTCAGAATAATCATTCGTCAAATATGTTCCAATACGATGGAAACAGCTGATATCTCTATCTGAGTTAGGTACTCTTATTTCCTTTATGGTTGAGGACTTTCTTATTGATTTCAAAAATTGGTAGACGAATGGCATAGAAGAAGGGAGAAAATTCTCCTATGTAAAATTCAGCATCTGAAAACGAAATCCGTATAAAGATTCATTCGCATTATCTGCTTACTATCCACCATTTACTGTGATGAATATCGTGTGAGTATTTGAGGAATACTTTATTGTGAGACTTTCATAGTTCACTAAACCACAACACGTGTTTCTCTATGCAATAGCTATTATGTATAAACACACCTTAAGAAGCAATTGGCCAGTGAAACACGTCATGCGTAATCATTTATTAACAAGTATCAATCAATTTCGTCACGTTTTATAACGTGTTTCTCTTTACAATACACGCCTGAAAAAGCTATTGTGTATGAACACGCTTGAGCTATTGTAGAGAGAAACACGTGTTCCGGTTTCGTAAACTGTTTTGTGAAAATCACACAATAATGTGTAACTTCAATACGACGTTTAAAAATGTGAATATATCAAACATTTCAGCTACTAATGTTTGTTACCAAGATGAATAATTTATTAGATTAACTGTAAATACCTGTGTTCACCAATTTTTTTATTTCCAGAATTCTAACACCGAATACTTACCAACCAAATGTCGAATCACAAAACCAGCCCCTCCAAAACCTGCTACAAACCCTCTGCAATTCATAAAAGTGGCACCATGTCCTCTATTCCAAAAAGCCCAGGAACAAATAAAAAAAGTCGAAGAAATAAAAAAGGAAGAGAAAGAAATGAGGACCGAGGTTGAAGACTGGCAACAGGTGTGTATAACCTTCAGTTCTTCTATTTTTAGTGAAATGATTTAAAGAATTGTTTGTTTACTCGATTCTTGTTGTGTTTTGTTCTTTCAAGTTTGACAAGCACTTTAGTAATTACAGTATGGTAAAGTAAGAGTGAAGGTTCTTAAAGTATATTGATGGTATTTTGGAATTGTAATCAATAATAAATATCAATAAATATAATAAAAGTGTAACTGATCACGGTCTGTATATATCTACATGGAAGATATTTTAGAAAAACTATTGGAAGTTGGAGGTCTTTATCAACGCAATAAAATCCAAAACAATTATTTTTTGATTTTTTTTTCTTTGTCTGTTTATCTATGTGTCTGTGCGCGCTAATCTCAAAAACGGCTTATACCGTTTGAGATGTTATTCTCGCTATTATGTTGTGATAAGATTCACTTAAGATTGAGTGTTTCAATTATTCAAACAGGTTTATAAATAGAAAAGCTATGTCAGTTAAAAGAAGCACATCATACATGTATTGATTTGGTTGTAATTTTGGTTGACTAGGTATATTTGTAGTTTGTGAAATGATTTTCTTGTAAATCAAATTAATGGGAACTTTTTGCTGTTAGAAAATTTTAGAAAACTTAAAAACTGAAATTCACGCCAACGAAGTAACAGTTTTAAAATACATATATTGTTTTCCTTGTGAATTCAAACATTTCCAATAGCAAACTTTTCAAACTAATGTGGAACATTTTTTGCAGAACCTTGACAACTGGAAAAGCAGTAGAAGAAAACGGCAGGTGCACATAATAGAAAGAGTGGTGGAAGTAAAAAAACTCACAGAACAAGAGGAAATGGAGAGAACGAGGCGGAAAAGCAAAACGTTTAGCGAAATGATGGAAGAAAGGTATTTTTTATAAGTCAAGAGTATATGATGAAAAATATTCACAGGCCATCATTACTGTGTGATGTAAATCCGAGCCATTGTTTAAAGATTAAAAAACCTGTAAAATTTGGTGGATGTCGGAATTCAATAAGTAGTAATTCGATGAGGTTATTGAATTCAGCTTACATTTGTTTCTCACAGACAATGTCCTGTAATATGATATCTAAAAAGCCCTACGCTGTTTTGAGTGTATAATTTCACAAAGAGGAGCGATGTATTACGATATGTAATCGAATAATATTTTCCTTCTTTCCATTGCTCAGTTCAGGTTGGTATGTTTATAATAGTCACGGCATCAGTGCCGTAGGCAAACTATATTCTTCACAAGGTCCAAACATTCCATTTAATAGTTGAATATTATTGACAATGTTTATTGATAGTAGTAGTTGGTTTTTAGGAAACAAAATACATTACGACTTAGTTATGTATAGGAAGATAATTGAAAAGTTCACTGTTTCTGTAGATTAGCAATAGATTTTACGAATTTGTGTACTTGAATAGTTGCAATTGGCAGTTTTTTGCCAATTTTTTGTCAGTTTTTTACGTCATTGTAGTAGGTTAAGTTCTAGTAGTGGGTTGGTCCCAAAATGAGTGGGTTTATTTAACTCTCAAATGCAACCCGTCAGGGTTTATTGTGGCACACACCTATTCACACTCGACCAAATAAAACCAGCTCCTTGACGAAGCCGATTAGTTTATATTGTGAGTGGTCTTCAGGTCAGACGGCAACAGTGTTTGAGATATCATCAACATTTTTATTCGTTTGAATAATGGTATCATTCATAATATTATACTATATAATTATGATGTGGTGAACACAGTTTACTCAAAGCAAGATGCCCATGAGTTCCTCATAATTTTTAGAACGTTTACACGTATAAAAAGTGCAAACCAATAATTATTTGTGTTTTTATTTCTTCTTCCTATTCCATTCTGTGTGGAATATAACATCTTTCATATGTTCGCGATGGCTTCTTTGGGTGGAACGCATCGGAACTGTCCAATTTTCCATGACTGGTGCATAAATCAAGCTGAATTCGACCGATGGCATGGGTTATGTTGGTTTTGAGGAACGCTGCGGTTTGTGGCTTATTCGTATACATCTGTGATTTAAGAAAACCCCACAAGGTCACATCACCTCCACGGAGGTGATCATGCCCTCAAATCGCTCGTGCAGAATAACCAGTGTGGCATGAGCTGTGTGACACGTTGCGCCGTCCTATTGAAACCACACATCGTTGGTGTCCAGACCAGACCAAGACCAGACCAAGCGATAAGAAGTTGGTAATCATCGACCTGCATTGCTCGCCGTTGACAGTGATGGCCTGGCCAACGTCGTCACCAAACAGTGACTTTTTCGGAATGCATTTAACGCTCTTGGATCTCATGTGAATTGGTATGGTCCCAAGTTCGACAATTTTGTTTGTTCACATACATTCATCCAGAAATGGATCTCATCGCCTAAGATGATTTTTCGATAAAAATTTGAGTCAGTTGTCAACTGCTCCACAGCCCAGTCAGCGAACACATATCGTTGTATATGGTCGTTTACCTTCAGTTCCTGGGTCAGTTAAATTTTTCCCGAACAGAACACTCATTTTGATAATTTGCACGTTTTGTTGAATGCTATACCTGTCCATGAAGATTTGGAAGAACAGACTGAATGAATGACAACTAATTTGACAGATGAAGCTTCAACAAGATGGCCGGTATCAAATGTCAAAGTTCGGAAGTCCATATTGGAAGCCCCTGCTCTGCTATTTCACCATATTCTTAACAGAAACGGCATGGATTGTCTTCTTACAGTCCAAGTCTATGCATATGATGATTCAAATGATAATGAATTATAAGTAGGCCTGTTTGACAATATGGGTCATCTCTACTGTATTCTAACAAATGTTTGGTCTACAATTCTGTCAGATTTTGCCTGGAGTCTGAAACTCTTCTTGCACTGTAGGTGCTCAGTTTTTTTTGGCAAAGCCTAATGCGATGTCAATGACAGCTTCTGGTCCGATTAAATCAGTTGTAATGCTCTCCCTTGCAAAGGAAAACCGTCGCAGCAACAGTCATAATTGTCCAAATGTAGACAATATGTTTAAAAGACTTTCGACCTTAGATAATTAGTTAGTTGTTACTATCCGAAGGCCTGCTCTTCCGCCGTATTTAACCTCCATCAGTTGCTTTTCAAATATACAGCCGACAGGTTAAATTCGGATAACGAACAGTCCAATAAAAAATTTAACATTCACCTAATCACCTAGTTGAACGTTCTTTTGAGGATATTGCCTACATTTGTTTACTGTTGTGAGATGTAGCTCCGTTGTGTTGGTACTCAACGATTCCATATATTGAAAGGATGACTTGATCATTATTTATATACATTTGTCATGTTCAATTAGCACTAACGAAGCCGACAACTCCTCCTCGTAAGGGGTGAATTGTGGCAATAAGTTCAAATTTTAGAAACAACAAAAATTAAATTCCTTTAATTGTATAAGCTATAATAAGTGTTACAAATAGAAATATTTTAGTTTCAGTAAGCCGTATTTGTTTGGTTCACTCCTAGAGGAGTCAATTTCAGGAGTTCATTTTACAAATATTTCAAGTTAGGACAGTGTGCATTGAGTGGCTTTTTTTCCAATTCCTTGTAGCTCACTGAATTTTCCAATCTGAATTGGACTACTCTCACATCCCATTATAATACGTAAATGGGATAGATTCAAGAGTCTTCAGTGTTGCTGTTAGTATATTTTTTTGCTTCGCCTTTAGTAATCTTTTGTTGAAAATACCCTTAAGAAATAATCGCAATGAGTTATTTTTGGTGTAACACATGGGAGGAAAGGATTTGGTACATCCGAACACTAACATTCTGCACCTTCTCTGAATGCGTTGAAAAATAGATCTGATTCTCAGAAATTTGTCTGTCACCTGTCTGACTGAAATTAATTTCTACTTTGGGGTAGAAAGCGTTTTGGATTACTACGTTTTCATCTTCTAACAGTTTCTTCATTGCAAGTACTTGATTCACTTCTGATTGTGTTTCGAACGTATTAGAATTTTCTTTCCTAAATTTGGAGAATTTATTTGAAAGTTATTTCATTATTCCGAATACTTCAGTTTATTGAAAGTCTATCGGTAGATTGTCAAAAATGAATACTAGAATGTGTGGATATTCTGATGTACTCCATATAATCATGAAACATTGTCAATCACCTTCAAACACACCTTGAAATCTGTTGATCTTAAACACATTTCTTTTATTTGTAAAATGATCATTATCCATCTTATATTTATTGAACGAAATTAATTCTAGGGTGTTGAGACTGATATTCAGTGTAAAAAAATGAGAGTTCTTTTCCGCATTATTATACAATAATACACTGTGGCCCATTTAAAATGGATGCTCTTATAAAACATATATTTTTCAATTCATTTTTCGAGGTGTTAGTGCGAAAAGTATAAAATTTGTTAATTGTGGTGAATAAGAAAATAAATATTACTCTCTCCCAACTACCTACACAGTAGGCTCTAGTAAACGTGTGTCACTTTTGATTTCTGTTAAAGTTCCGGTACACGGGATATTTCTTCCCCGCTTGGGGCTTTGTTCACGAGATGGAGTTGTTTGTAGTTTACAATCTTTCTCTTAGACGAAGGGTTCATATATGTAGCGGCACTTTGCTGTCTGGGTAGGATCTTTCCTGTGCTGACGAAAGATAATACCTCGAAACCGCCATGTGCAGGTGATCTACTTGCATAATTTCAGCATGGTCCTGTTGCTGGATGAACGAGAAACATCTGCGAGACTAATCTCTGTTAGGTATCTTGCATAAATGTCTGTCTGATATAATTCAATATCCAGCGTGGTATTAGCCGACAGGCGTTTATCAAAGCCAACAGTGTAGATAGTTGGAAGAGATCAATATCTGGAAATTTTATTTCGAAATATTAATTTTCTCAAATGTAGGGAACTTCACAACTATACGAAGATTCAATTATTTCGTTTTAGAATCGCTTACATATAGGATCATCATCAGTATTTTAAACCATAAATCTCATTGCATGAAATAAACCGAATATAGATGCAAGAGAAACGTGAGTGGATTTGCGGTATGCAGACATTGGGTATCATTCTACATGGTGACTCCGATAGTTCATTGGTAAATGCGATTGTTTACAAGAGAGCTAGTTTCGAATCCCGGTCGGGTTACAGTTTTTTCAGTTCAGGTTTTTATGTGAAACATCTATAGCCGCACGTAAAACCGATTGCTGCCGTAGCGACGAGTCGCCATGTGCAAGCGACTGTGCGATTCTCTTCCCACTGGTTCGGCGTTACGCTATCTCTCTCGTCACACTGAGCACGGATACCTACAGTGTATACAGTTGTGTTAAGTACAGTGTACATATCCTGTGTTTTACTAAATAAATTATTTTTAAACGTAATCAAAAATAAAATATGTCTAATATTGATAATTTAAAAAGTGAAAGTGAAAGAAAGCAAAATCACACAATGACATATTTTTATATTTTATGAATAAAGTGTGCATTTATCTGTGCATTAGGCCGTATATACTTGGTCTGTCTCACGGTCAGTAAATGTAAAATCTACTCTCTTGGTAGATTAAAAGGTACACGATTTTCATAGCCATAATATTTTTGAATTAATTAATAATTGATTTTAAACACTTGATTAAATGGATGTTATTTATTCAGAATTTCACCAAAATCTATTCATCATTTGAAAAGTTATAACTGAAGACATATTAAACGATATACTTTTCAAACTTTCTTTAGTTATAGAGCTAATGTTGCCGAATGTTTATGAAAGTTCTAAAATTGAATTGGTGAAATGACCAAATGGCACATTTATCAAATTTTATTCCCTTGTAACTTTTTATATTCCCGAACGTATTTCGACATAATTTTGACAAACAATTTCAAAACTACGTGAGTCTATTGGTGTTGTGTGAAAGCTATTTTTGTTTTTTTTTTCGGCCGTGGTCTGCAGGTTCTTATGCCTGACGTTTCGTCTACTACTACGGTAGACTACATTGGACCACGAAAAGAAGTGTAGGTACCCGTCTCTCTGAATACAAGAGACATTGTTGACTCTGACAAACCGACAAATCAACTGTAGCCGAACATGCTCTCAACGAAGAAAACCCTCACATTATATCATTCGAAGATACAGTAATACTCGATAAAACTCAAAATTCTTATCCAAGAATATATGAAGAGGCAATAGAAGTTCAAAAACACAGGGTTGATTTCAATAGAGAAGAAGAGGCAGTGAACATCAATAAAATCTGGCTACTTGTCCTGAAAGGTACATCAACAAGGTCAGCTTATCCAATTGAAATAAACCAAGCCACGCACACTGATAATAATATAAAACCAGAGTCAAGTACCAGCTTGGTAGTTACTGCGTTCGGAAAAACGATAATAACAACTCAAGCCCCAACTCGGACACTGCGACCGTTACCACATCGCCTTTGATAATGTCTACCGCAGTAGTAGACGAAACGACGGGCATAAAAACATGCAGACCACGGCCAAAAACCCGGAAAATAGATTTCACACAGTTATATCCAGCCGTGAAAGTTTACATTATTTGATCTATTGGTGTTGCCAGAGTTTTACTAAATCGCAACTTTTTTTATGTTCCTGACATACAATTTGGAAAAATCCAATCGGTTGAGAAATATATGTTTTATGGGGATGGTTCTATTTCAAAAGGGTCGTAGTGCAGATATTATTTATTATTTGTCAATAATTTGTGACTAGAAATTATGACTATGTATCCGTAGATAACTTTCTAGTATTTTTTCAGTAACGTTTCTGGAGGTAATAAATTAAACAGTTGTAGAAAATATCTGTTGTGTAATGGCGTTAGTATTAGTTTTCTGATTCATGATGATCAAGCGATTTTTATTTATTTACCTACCAGTATGCTTAGTTTCTTATCAAGCTTTTATGCAGTATACGCATAACATGTTCTACAAAATAAGATAAATTTTATGTTTGTGATATCACGAATTGACGGCATTCATGTTTTTTTTTATATATATATAAGTATGATCCTAAGGTTTCGAAATATACCCGCTATAATTTCAACACTACAGTTTAAAATNTCATTAAACAGAAACATACGAGAGGTATAAAAATATATAGCAAGTTATTTCGAAATTTTTAAGGAAGATACTGTGGATACTGATTTGCTTTCAACTTCGTTGTATATTATGTTGTAATTTTAACATCAATTTCATCACATAAATCTTGTGCAAAGAGAAATAACTTTTTTGTGGCATGTTTACATATACGAGTATACTTGTAACTGAGTGGTGTTTCGAATCTTTACACTTGGAAGGTGGTAGTTCGAGTTAAGTTTTTAGCTGAGATGATTATTTAGCTTTTGTACAAGGAATTCTGGTAAAATTTTGTGAAATCAGTCGTACAAATTTATTGAACTCTTGAGTTCTGTAGAAAATAATTAAATAGAAATCTAAGTGAACCATTTGTGAACCATTACAGTTGCCGATACATGCATTTCAATCGTTTGTAAACCTAAATTATTTAAGTGAAATCCTCTTTCTTAATTAAGATTTATTCTCATTTTTCATTTTGCTATTTAAATATTAATTTCAACTTTGGCATTTTGGAATCAAATTTTCTTGAAAATTTGAGTATCTTCAGCATACATTGATGTATACTTGAGAGAATATCAGCGATATATGGAATAAACAGTAAAGGGCTCATTATAGATCACTGCGGAACTCCTGTGGTAATATTGAGATTGAAGTGTCCTTCCTGTTACTAAGGAAAGTATCGACTCACAAATACCTTGATATTTCATTATCATCATCAAGAATACATTAACTTTTATATATGCATCAAAATAGATAATTTTAAAGCATTTTTATGACTTTTTTGATAACACTGTATAATGAATAATTGCAATCAAAAGTTCATGATTAAATATATCAAATGCTCTAATAAAATCCAGCAATATCAAAATTGTACAATAACTTCTATTGGTTGCTCGAATTATAATAATAGGGGAGCCCAAGCAGGGATTTCGGGATTTACTAAAGCGCAGCAGATTAATATACAGGGGGATACCTTGTACCCCGTTAAGTACCTCCACCAAATATGAGCCCCATATATAAGGCCGCCTGTGAGGGATAAAGGATCAGATTAGTAACATTTTTTTCTTCTCATCATCTAAGCTTTGCAACCTAATATGTCTCTATGACGCTCGAGTAAATCCACATTTTGCATCGTGGGCTCCCTGCTATATCATCAGTAATATCCAAAAGGGTCGTTACACCCTTGAAACGTTTTCTAACTCCCGATTGTATTGAAGGTATTCTAGGTGAAGTATTGAAAATTATTTTTTTTAGGAGTAAAGGAAGACATAAATTCAGTATACCTTTATACGAAGACGATTCAAACGACTTAAGCGATTACGGTATTGGCAGCAGCAGTTCAAAGACCAATAGCATCAAAGATGTCGATACTGATGATAGCTGTAGCATTTTGGTATGTTTTTCGCTGCATTTATTGACTTTTATTCACGTTCTATTTTTTTGGATTTCAGGACGAAAAGGACAATCATTCTTTCGATTCATCTAGTAATAGGGAAAACTCGAGTGCATCAAACCAAAGTCAAAGCGAAGATGAAACAAATACAACCCAAAAAGAACCGAGAATTATCAATAATAACAATATTTGTTCGAAAACCTATACCAGCACCTACGTTACTAGCTGTAACTTGGGTAATAAAAATCCCGAAGTCCCACCTAAAACAATGTCATCAATCGAAACGAAATCCTATTCAGAGCCCAAGGAACCAAAGCAATATACTTACGAGGGAGCCATTCAGGACTACAGGACTAGAATTCAGACTATAAATTCAGATGAATCTAGAAACAAAACTAGAGAACTTTCAGACATTGTACTACCAAAAGGAGAAATCTCCAAACGAAAGGGTTTATTTGAAAACAAAAACGTGGAAATCAACCACTTGGAAAATTCAACTGCTCGAAGATTGTCTGAAGACTTCGTTAACGCTAGGAGTATCAAAGATAGGTTGAAAAGTCTGGGACAGTCGACGGATCAAGGGTGTAAGTCAACGGAAAAGAGCGAGGTACAAATTTCTGTGAAACAGAGGCTGCTGAACTTCAATAAGCAAAATGACTCTGACACTACTAATAACAACCCACCAAAGGTCAGCTCTAACAAAATTAGCAACTATCTCTTAGACAAATCCAGCAGTGCTTCTAAGTTCGAAACAAAGAAAACCTCGAGCTGGAAAAGCGACTCTTCAGATCGATGTTTCAGCCCTGAAACGGAACTTTACGTGAACAAACTCAACATGTTCAACAGGGATTTGGATAACTTGATGATGAACAACTGCACGGACGAGAACTATGCTCCATCTGTAGCTTCAACTGAATTTACTGCTGTTTCTTCAGATCGCGACGATAGCGGTATTCATACAACTGACGTATCTTGTTCGGTCAGTCAAGCTGACGAACCAACTGATACTGATGATGTTTCATCTAATGTTAATAATAGACTCAACGAAGAAACTCTCACGCAGTTTGAAAAGGATCTTACCCAGTTCCAAGCTGAAATGGATCAGTTCCAAATAAGGAGCATACGGTAAGTTATCGTCTATAGAAGGCCTAGTTGTATTTTTTTTTTGTTAGACTTCAAATTGTCAATGAATTTCCTGTTGAAAAACTATATAAGTGACCTGAACGATTACAAAACCCAGCAACCGAAATCAAACGAGCTTGGCACTTGACCAATTGCAATTCTGAACGTATTTGGAATTTTTCGGTATGCAAAATTCCTTTATATTGACCAAAGTGAAAATTATTATTATCTTTGGCTGATTTTCGAAGGTTAAAAGTGTAAATCATTTATGAAAAATATATTGGGAGTCAATATAAATGGAAATTTTTGTTAAATTCGGATTAAGCATTCGCAAATGTGGAATTGGCCGCGGTGGTAGTGCGTCCGACTCACGATCGGAAGGTCGTGTGTTCGATTCCCGCCTCGACCAGATATTTTTCTCGAGAGAATTTATCTAGTTGAAGCTGGAATGATTCTGCAACCGTGTTAGGAATCACACGTTAAAAGGTAAGACCTCGTTAGTCCTTAGCACAAGTTTCTCAACTTCTGAGAGTTGTCGTTCGTATGGGGGCGGCAGCTGATTAACGGAAAAACAGATTTTAAAACAGATTTTTTTTTAATATCCCTATAGGCAGAAAATGATTTTGGAACAGCCCGAAAACTGTTATAATAAAAAATGTACCACGTAGGCCACTGAAAAATGAAACTTATACACGTGAATTTTATTTTCATGCATGCCCAATGGCATGGCCGCTGCTCAGCAATAAGACGCGGCGATTTCAACAAAAAAACTACAGTATGAGTTTTATTGAGAAAATGGCCAGTTTGGGAGTTATAATCACTTTCATTTTTGAAAAACAGGTTTCCAATCTTTCTTTTAACTCTATCGAAACTATTTCGTACGTAGGAGTTTTAGGTATGCTGATTCCAAAGTTTCACTTTGGTCGATTTGAAGGAATTTTGCATACATACCAACATACCAAATATGTTTAAAATTGCATTCTAAACAACAGAGCTATAAAAAGTTTTCTCATTTTTCAATAGATTATTATAGGTTAATTCAATCCATATTTTTTATTTTTGTAGGACTGAAAATAATAATGTTGAACAACCTGAAAAAAGACGCAAAGAAACTATTGCAGCATTTTCCAAGCAAATGCTTATCGATTCCACCAACAACCTTCTGGAGTCGTTGAAGAAAGACTCCTCAGAAAATCTACCTGACCTAAGAACTGTAAAAGAAGAAGTAGCTACTGCTACAGAAGCTCTGCCTGTAATCAAACCAAAGCCTGTAATATATGAAAACGTAGAGTTTAAACGATTCAGTCCGGCAGTCGACTTTATCACTAACAATTTCGTGATGGATTCCCAGTTTGCAGGGTTCAACACTACTAGGGAACCTCCGAAAGTGAAACCTCCACCTCCTCCTCCACCGAAAGATGAAGAAGAGTACTTCCCAGATCCCATGAAGCGCGAAAACTCGACAAAAAGGATCAAGAAAGAAATACATATCAAACGCTCGAGTTTTCTTGGCTTAGAAGAACCTATTGTCGATACAGAAATCGTTTTGGAAAAACCACCAGAGCTGAACAGTTTTTTTCAGAGAGAAGCTAAAATGGAAAAGTCCTTATACCGAAAAATCCACGAAGATCATCTAGGTGGGGTGCTGAGTAAGGTGGAGAGTCAGGATTCTGGATTAGACATAGATAGAGGTCGATTGTCTAGTGATACATGGTGCAGCAGTGTTGGGGATTCAAGTGTTCCCAGCCATGAAAGACAAGCCAGTGAGGTAAGGTAAAATTATAAAATAACAACAATAATGACAGAAGGAGGGTTATTATTCTTATTCAGTAAAATATGCTACATTATTATATATTACATAGAAAACTTTAATAAACTATGAAATTGTAGTAGGTAGGTAGGTCTAAAGTGAGTGGGTCTATTCGACCCTCCACCGCAACCCGCAAGGATTTATTGTGGCTCACACCTATTCACACTCGACCAAATAAACCCAGCTTCTTAACGAAGCCGATTAGCTTGTATGATGAGTGGTCTTTCAGGTCAGATGGTAAGAGTACGGCTCTGCCGAACTCTAAAAAACTGATTCGGTACCCAGCGGGGCAGGCACAAAGTATGTGCTCTGCTGTTTCGTCATTTTTCCAAACAGAGGCGACACACACTGTCTTCCGACAGTCCGAGTCTCTGCATATGATGATTCAAATGACAGTGACCTGTAAGAAGGCCTGTTAGACATCGTAGTTCATCCCCACTGTAGTCCAACAACTGTTTGGAATCAAGCTTTGAAGGGTGAATAAACGCCTTGGAGTGAGCCAATCCTGGAAGATTCTGTCAGAAGTCCATAACTCTTCTTGCCCTCAAGGTGTTAAGTGTTTGTTTGGCAAAGCCCAAAGCGATGCCAGTGACAGGTTCTGGTCCAATGAAGCCGCTTGCAGCACCCTCCTTTGCAAGAGAGTCAGCAGCTTCATTGCCTTCAAGGCAGTATGGTCAGGAATCCAGACCAGAGACAATCTGTTAAGTCTTCATAACGAGAAGATTCGTTTTTGGCTATTTGCTACCAATTTAGACGTTGCTCGGTGGGAGCCAAGAGCTTCCAACGCCGCTTGACTGTCCGAGAATATTTTTATTGACTTGTGAGTGAGGTTGAATTTATCTAATCTCTCACACAATTCAATAGAGTAAACTTCCGCTTGAAATACAGTCGCATAAGTTCCTAGGCAGGTAGAAAACTCTGTCCTGGGTCTGCGACTGAAAACACCTGCACCAGAACCGGAAGGTGTTTTTGATCCATCTGTGAACCAACAACTATCTGCTCTTAATATTTCCTTCTCCCGCAGGATCCAGTCCTCTCTACTCGGGAATAGTACTTTATAAGGCAGTTCGTAGTTGACAGTTGGAGGCATAAAGTCAGAGGTCATTTTCAGAATGATGTGACTTCCAGTGTCAACCAACAGTCCGTTGCACTCTGCATTAAATTGATTTGTGCAATTGGCAATGTGCACAAGTCTGTATGCAGTCCATCTAGCCTCTCTTCCCAGAAAATGTGGAGAGAAGGTAGATCTAGAAGGATCTCCATGGCCGCTGACGGTCTGGTACTGATGGCACCACTGATAGCCAGACAAGCCTGTCTCTGTAAGCCAGAGAGCTTCGCTTGGGCCGTTTTCTGTAAAGCCTTCGGCTACCAAGCAATTGCACCATAAGTGATCATTGGTCTGACAATCATCACATAAATCCAATGGATTTGTTTGGGACCTAAACCCCAAGTTTTACCACAAATCCTTCGACATGTCCATAGAGACAGTCTGGCTTTGTGTAAAACTTTTTCCAAGTGAGCGTTCCAGGTGAGTCTTTTATCAAGGACAATGCCAAGATATTTCACCTCCGTTCCAAATCGAATGACCACACCATTGAGGAAAAGTGACGTTAGATCGTCCAATTTCCTTCTCTTGGTGAAGGGGATTAACACAGTTTTGCTGGGGTTGACAGACATCTGCTCCCTCAGGCACCAACTGTGAACAACGTCCAACGCGCTTTGGAGGATATTACAAGCTACCCTTCCCAACGTGGACCTTGCCAGGATGACAAGGTCATCTGCATAAGCTTGCAGATCAACTTTTTTTCTGTCGAGGGCGTCAAGCAGACTATCCACCAGGAGCGACCACAGAAGGGGAGATAGTACCCCACCTTGAGGGCAGCCCCTGGTGACCCTGAACCTGATAGCCTCGCCTTGAAGAGTCGTGGTTGCAGTTCTGTTTACTAGCATGGCATAGATCCAGCCAGTTATGGTCGATTCTATACCCTTTCTAGCCAGAGACAATCCTATAGATTTAGGTAGTGCATTGTCAAATGCTCCTTCAATATCAAGAAATACAGCAACCGCAATCTCCTTGTTGTCCAGGGATTGGGAGATTTTCTCAACGAGGTTGTTCAATGCTGAATTTGCCGATTTGCCGGTTTGATAAGCATACTGATGGTTATTCAGTGGGGATGCATATAATGCTACCCTCCTGATATGTCCGTCCAGTATCCTCTCAAGTCCTTTCAGTAGAAAGGATGTTAGGCTGATTGATCGTACCGATTTAGGGTATGGGGCTCTTTGGCGAGACGATTTTCGTCTTCGCTTTCAGAGAGCCACGTCCAGCCTTTTTTTTTCCAGTTTACTCGACGAGACGTTGGCCGTCTTCGTCTCCTGAGAAACACCTGTTTTCCCGGCCTTGGGCTGGGTGTGAGCCGGTGGTTTACCCCTATGTTTGGGTGGAGGTTTGGTTGAACTTCTCCCCATAGGTGGATTTCCACTCGGCCCCGCCTTATTTAGTCTAACGGGTGCACTAGTGTGACTCGTTTGAGTAGTTTCCTGCTGGGAGGGTGCCCGGTTTTAGAGCGGAATAAGACCTGCCCAAAACCAAAATGTTTTCTCCCCATAGGTGGATTTCCACTCGGCCCCGCCTTATTTAGTCTAACGGGTGCACTAGTGTGACTCGTTTGAGTAGTTTCCTGCTGGGAGGGTGCCCGGGTTTAAGGGCGGAATAAGACCTGCCCAAAACCAAAATGTGGTCTGAAAACCGTCTTCACCAGCACGGCCATGGATCCATCGTCTACAGCGAAGGTCCATGTTTGACCAGGGCCTGACTTTTCCTTGTGGAGGATCGTCCACTCCAAGGTTGACAGACCATGGTTCATTTTCCTCAATCTAGTGAGGACCTGTTCGGAGGTCAGTCTATGACTGCCTCCGTCAGGTAAGTAAGCAACACCGATATGTGGCTTCGGAAGTTGGTCCCCTGTGACGCATTTCAGGGAAGCACCCTCCCACGGTTGCAAGGTATTAACTACACCCGCAAGCCAGTCGGCGCTAACCTGATACTCACAGACGACCTGTAACAATCCAGGCCAAAAGACGCAGGTTTGGAATTGAACCTGCGGCCCACCGTCTGGAATAACCTCCACAGCCGACAAAATAGCCCCCTGAAGAGATTCCAGCTGGTTGGCCGTTAATGAGGTAGTCTGATAATCAAGGTGCAAGATTCCCACCTTGATGCCCGCGACAACCTTCCCATATGAGGGTTTTTGCACATCAGGTACACTTGACGATGCCTTAGATTTTGCCTCTGGTTTCGGAGAATCATCATTTGAGCGCAAACGTTTGCTAACCTGCTCAAGGGGGTTTGTTCCCCTACCTGAGGCAGAGTCTGCGTACGCCGCTCAAGAATTTGGTGCAAGGCGGTTTCATAAGGTACTCCGCTCTTGAGGAGACGACTCAGTCGTTTCCTGGTTGCACCACTAAACCTTTTCCCAGGTTCAGTTTTTGAATCAGGGTTTTGAGAGTTGAGAAGCTCTCGCTCCTGATCTAAACTTACAGGGAGGTCAGCGGGAGTATTAAGCTCGACATCCATCTCCTCTGTAGACTCAGCGTCAGGAAAAATGTTCAAATTTACTCTGTCCATAAAAGTCCCACGAGTAGCTAGGGAAATAAGGTCAATCACGGCAGAGCCCCGCATTACCGTGACAAGGCGATGCTACGACGAGAGGGCGCCCGGTATCTCGAAGATTCCGTTAGAGACAGCTGATAGGCTCAGTGTCATTCATCCTCTCGGCACGGATACACACACCTTAGGATTAAGCCATCGTTGGGATGCCATTCAGTTAGGGAATAACAGAACCACACGTGATTCTGTCAATTCCGTATCCAGCAGGGCTACGTGGAAGCAGGCATCCGATGGCCGGTTTGCTCCACCCCCACATCCTGAGCCAATGCACTCGCCAAAAACAGCATGCACAGTGGTTCAGGCAGTGAAAGATGAACAAGGACAGCCAACCCTCCATAAAATTGTGGTAGTCACAAGTTAAATAAATGCCTTCAAATGTAAACCAACACCTGACAAATACCTATAAATAATTCAGACCCAAGTATAAATTACTCAGTCGAATTTTTAAGAGATTCTAATTGTATTGTTCATGTGTTGTTCATATCACACAGCATTCTCAACATTTGTTGCCTGTTTAAAGATTCTAAATAAGCTAGTTCTGACAATCTGAATTGTTCAGCAGCAGCAGTCTGAAATCTAGTTTTATTTAGACTATAGGCAAGTACTCCCATTTTTCTGCAGGCATTTAATGGAAATATTGATGTAATTCGAAGGCAGTATCGGGGCATTTAGGGCGAAGTGTAACGTTAAATTGTATGGAAGGAATATTAATAACTTTCTAGTTCTTCAATTTCTATTGTATTCTTTAGGTTTCATTGAGGCTTTCAAAGCACTATGAAAAGTTAATACTGTCGTTGGAATTCGGGGTTCACATTATGATTATTATGTTTATCTTGTACTGTAATGTAGTCCAAGTGAATTGTGGTTTTCGTTGCATTTATGAAAAATAGAAACTCTTTCTGAAAAGAGCAAACTATTTCAAGGGAAACAGTGAATTTTTAATATGGAAGTCAAAGTTTAATGTAACTCGAAGCATATTCAAACTAACATAACACTCATTTCTAACTGGAAATTTGAGTTCAGAGATTCCATGAAAACCTGGAACTTCTTAATCACTGTCTGTATCTATTTTTTTATTCCTAACTGTATTGATTTTTTAGCAAACAAATAGTATTACTTCTGAGGAAGACGAAATAACCAAGAAGGAAAGAGAAATAATTGAATTAGTAGAAAAGGAAGAACAGTTTAGAGATACTGCTGATTATGTTCACAAGGAAATACCTGCGGCCATTTTCAATATCAAAAAGGATTCTGCTTACGAACTGTCGCTGGGTAGTGAACAGTTTGGTAGACCATATTTTCATGAAGTAAGTAATTCTAATATAATACTTTTCGTGGTTTTCCATGATGAAATAATTAATATTTATTACACTATAAAAATTTTCACTTATTCACATTCACAATATGGGTATAACAACCAATTTACAATACAATATTCAAAAAATCAAATTCGTGTATGGATTTTTGGAAAAAAGCTAAAATATCGAAGTACACTTCTTTTCAGAAAATATATTGGTATTATCAATACTTATAATACTGTTGACAATATTAATACTATTATAATTACGAGGGTAGCGATAAGCAAAGCTTATTGTTAAATCATCTGAAAATGGAATTTTTAACAGGTGATGATCGACTGTATTGTCAAACATGCGCCAAACTAACTAACTGTTATAAGGAAACAAGTATAATTATAAGAGAGAGGACATTGTTAGATCAAGATCTTCAGATGATGTGGTGCTGCAGGTTTTTCCGGGTTTTCCTGCAGCTGAAAAAGCAAATGCGCCACTGGAATCAATGAAGTCGCCCCGGAGCGCCAATTAATTTTTATTGTTGTTTTTATTTTATTTTTATCGTTGTTTTAATAATCATATATTATTAGTTCGTTTTCATACAAATAAACGGAAATAAATACAGGAAGCTAAAAGAAGGTTTTTTCTCAAACATAGACATACTTCATGTGTGAAATTTCCATGCTTTCATTTTTCAGCAAACCTCAGATTTTTTAAAAGAAGATTCGGAAGTTCTGAAGGTCGAACAAGAACTAAGGCAGTTGGAACTGGGAGAACTGGAAAGACAATGTGACAACATGTTATTTCGTGAAAGCAGAGCTAAAGCCCACCTCCAGAACAACAGACATTCATTAGAGAACATATACGACAAAATAGGGCATGGACATAACTATGACAGTTCGAAAGATTGTCGAAAATCAATGCCTGAATTGGCCAGAAACGATATGAGAAAGGATTTACCAATCCTTGGGCCATTAATCCCTTTTTACGAATACGAAAATCTCCCACCTGTTGATTATAAAAGAAGTTTCCAGTCGTCAGACAATCTCGTAGACTCAGATATCGGGATACCTCTGGCCCATCGCAAATCCATGCCAGAGCTCCAACATGTGTATCAAAATTATGCTTTGGAACCTCGGAGACCTTTAGTGGAAACTGACATGAGAGTCCCCATAGACCACCGGAAATCTATGCCAGAATTGCAACACGATGTAAATTATTCTGCATTCAAAACTCCTAGACCATCTATAATTCCTGGAAGGCCTATCCGACCTATCCAAAATTGGACTGGTTTCGAACCACAAGGTAGTCAGCCAGTTTCGAGGCAATTAGGAGCAGTTCCTCGCCCAAGGCAAGACAAATGGATACAACAACCCAAAATCAATTCTGAGGGCCGGAACTATAATCAGCATTGGGTTATCCAGGTAAGCACACACAGAATTTGCTGATTTTGCAAAGGTTGCGACATCTAGCTATTTTTCTGCGAAACTATATATTATTGTAAAAGGTTTCCGCCATGAGGCTAATTCATTATTTTTACTGTTTTATATTACTACTTGTTACTTCAACAGCATACTACTATGAACATTAAGTGTCACAAGTAAGATTCTGCTGATTGCTTCATCAATTTCTATCAAAAGTTTTTGATCAAGAATAATAATTCTAGAAATCAAGAAAAATTAGGTTTCCTGAAATCACAATTAGGATACATTTATCTGGGATAGCACATTTTTTTATTTCTTTTAAACTTATGTAATTTGGTTTGCTGAACACGAATCTGAAATTTGGGTCGCCTCCCTGAGATACGGCCATTCAGCCATTTCCTGCGATACAGAAGGTCTTATTAGAATGGCTTTTTTCATTAATACCTGTTCTAGACATTAACTAATACATATACATAAAAGCGTGCTGCTGAATACAGAATTATTCTTGAGAAGAGTGGTCAGTTTTTCAAAAGGCCTATGATTGTATCAATAGTATTACAGTATCATGTAAAAAGTGAATGCGATATTTGTTGGAATCGTTCTATAGATACTTGATGAAAATTATAATCCATAATTTCTTAGGTATCAAAGATTCATTGGTTAATACATTTTTAGAATGATTTATCGAGGGATCGATTATACAAGGCTACAGTTTGATAGACTGTATGCTTAGAGGAAGGCTCTGGAACCAAGATGAAGATAGGGTAAAAATGTAGTCGGAGGTAGCTGGCCAGATATACCTCCAAAAATATATGTAACTAAAACCTGTTATAATGTATGAATCTTGAGTTTGATGGCCTTAGATGAAATAAGCGACCTTTATTAAAAATAGGCAGTGTACAGACTTGCTTGATGGTTAATATTGGCAGAAAATATAAGAGAACCACACCTATAACAGCATTGGAGACCCTCTTGAATCTGCTCCCTTCACATTTTATAATGACGTGGTATGTAAGAGCGGATCATCTGACTAAAAACTCGCCGAGCTACAAAGGATTGGGCAAAATGAAAATTTCAGAATATGTTGAGGAATGAACATACCTTGTACACTTTTGACATAAACTTCACGGTTAAAATCACAAACTGTGAAAAGTAGATGATGATCCTGAGAATGTGCTTAGGGCGGTATATAGACAGGTTAAAAGTCAACAACAAACATGAGCTGGACTAAATTGTGCGGGTAGAAATTTACATAAAATGACTCGCTTGGTCAATACACATACCTCTTCCAGGTGGAAATGTGTAAGGAATTTTGATTTGGAGTCTCAATGAAATGAGCATATCAATGGGAATACCCTGAAGAGCTGAAGGAACTACTGAATAGGAAAAGATTATATTTGTCCTGATACAATTGGAAATTACTGGCAACGAAAAAGTTGAAGACTGTCTTAGATTCGGATTATCAACTTTATATGTGGGTTCTGAACTAGCTGTGGGGGTACTAAAATCTACGGTACGGGACTGGATTAGCAAATGGATCAGTAAGAAACATGAAGAGTACTGGGAAAAATATACCTGGGAATACACATCGAGAAACTTTTTTAAAGCAACTTTCTACTAAAAGACTTTTGAGTTATTAATGAAAGAACGATATTTTTAGTGAAACTTTGACACCCTGTTACTCGGAAACGAAGCAAGTTAGGTCACACGTTCATATGAACTCCTTTTCATAAAATATGATAAGTAATCACCACCTGAAATTAATGGCAGAATTTAGGATAATTATTCTGGCAATCATAAATTAAAAAAATGTTCCTGATAACATCATGATTTAGTTAATGTTGAAAGAAAAATGGAGCATTCATTAAAAAAAACATAATGGCCTTTTACTACAAGATGTCTTGAAAATGACTGTTTTTCAGGAAGCGGAGTTGAGAAGGATATCTGATCAGAAAAAAAACATTGCTTCTAATATGAATTGGCAACAACCCAGGCCACGTACTCAAAACAGGCTGAATGCCAATGATCGTCTACAGCAAACTGTGAGGTGATTACTTTTTTTTTTACTTTCACCAAATCATTTTCATTGAACCCAATGCTATAAAATATCAATTCTTTTCTCATTTCATTCAACTTCACAGTTTTTTCTTCTTACTTTCTTAATAATAATCTCTTTTTCCTAGAACGGATGGAAACTACAAAAAAGACCTCTTGCAGCATTCTTACCTCAGTCATCCTCAGGCTATGAACCATGCTTCGCCGACTATGACTTACTCTCCGCCGATGGTTGTGGACGAGTCCCAAGATAGGATTTTGAGTGTTAGTGGCAAAAAGAAATGTTCATATTGTGGAAATGAATTAGGTAATGAAAGTATAGAGAATACTTATTTTTTGAGGCCATGTAAAGAGAAAATCATTTTTTGAAAATATTCAACTTTGGTATTAAATTCAGTCTCTTCAAGGGCACAAAAATATAAATGGAAACTTTCTTAGGATGTTGATGAGATCAGTTTTAATGATTATCAAGTTTTTTTGGAGACATATGCTAACAGCAAAGTTTTTCTTCGTTATCAAGGGTTATATGGTATTATAGAAAATATGACAAAGATATATGTCCAAAGTTTATTCAGATTGGGGGATAACTGAATCAAATATTAGGTACTACCGTTTCTATAAAAAAATCATTGATTATTGAGAAATTTTCATATTTGTATTTATTATACATGTTCTGTTGCCTCATAGTTATTGCATATTATATAATATATAACTTGAGTATGCAGCAAAATATATTTACTAGAATTATTACTCATAACTGTCACTAGTCGATCAAAGAAAAAGGTCTTATTTACGAGAATGAAAATGAAAAAAAAAATTGAAAGAATATTGAATATTCAGTTTCAGATGATCGGGAAATATGGGAATGATTTTCCATGTAGTAAATATTTATGTATTTTGCTATCACTTTCATTCATTAATTTTGTAAATCTAGAGAGTTGGTACATCAAGTAGATAGCTGCTCCCTCTGTTGTTGAAAATTATTTCGGTGCATCGTGTTACTGTGATTCCATTGGAGAGATTAATCTCTACAGTAGTAAATTCAAGTACACTTTAAATTATGGTAAGGGAAAGTGAAAATATTTCGAATTCAGAGAGGAAAGTCAGTATATTTCATAACAAGAGGGTAAAATATCAGGTCGGTTAGTCTTCAAATTAACACACTATATATAGTGTGGTAATGTAACCTTGGTTATATCTCGAATACAAATACCACTGATGATATCTGCCACAGTAGCAGACAAAACGTTTGGTACTACATTCGACCTGATTTTGTTTTCTTTAAATCACAAATAATATTTGGAGTACAAACTGAATAGGAAAACATTATTTTTGTATAATTCAATATTCATGCACTCGTAATAGTAGTTGTTTTGGGATGGTTTTTTCTTTCAGTTTGTATCTTGAAGTAACTTTTATGCATGAGCTACATATATTTGTGAAAAATTTATTTTGAACTTACTGCTTTCATGTTGCAAACCACAAAACCTTTTAATGCAGAATATTTGTTACCCTAAGTAATACTGTTCTTGATACATCTCAATGATTTGTGAAAATATTTGTATTTTCCAACAAAAAAAGATTTATCTTCAAATTTTCAGTGAGGTGATCTTTCTCTAATGCACACTTGAATTTTCAGGTCGAGGGGCAGCCATGATCATTGAAAGTTTGTGCCTTTTTTACCACATGGAATGTTTCAAGTGCTGTGTTTGTCACGTTCAATTAGGCGACGGCATGATGGGAACTGATGTTCGTGTTCGCAATGAGAAGCTGCACTGCCATAACTGCTACTCTAGCGATGATGGTGTCAAGTTCAGTTGCGTCTGATGTATATACTCTCCTTGTAAATATATTATTTATAATCTGTATTTGTTTTGTATCATAGTTGAATAGTTGATTGTAATTAACACCTATTTATTAGAGTAGCCGGTTGTGATTTGAGAAAATTTGGCATTTGTTTTGGGAAAACGATTACATTTCTATTCCTTACAAATGCTGTTGGATGCAATAATGAACAAATTTATTAGTATAAGTGCCAAATTGTATGTTTTGTAATTTTCTTTTGGGTATCAACTAGTTGATTACGTTTTTGTTTTCTCATGCTGGATATCTTATTTTTTCGATCTTCAGTTATGCTATTGTCATTTGTTTCGTTTGCGTTACTTTGAATTTGTTCAACTTTTTCCAGTAAATGATTTTTGCAACATCTGTTGCAACTCCTTTTTGACTTGAAGAAAATGTTTTTTCTTCGTGGATGTTGTTTCATAGTATTTTTGAAGATTGATTGTTCCATTATTATATTCCAGATTGAATTTGTTGTTTTCTACCATTTTATTTCCTGTTGAAATGAATATTGATCTGTTTGAAGACAATAAATAAGATATTGGTCAATTCTACAAAATTATAAAGATTTTATCATAGAATTGTTGATCTAATTGTAATTCTGGTTTGGATTCATTTCTGTTGTGAAATTATTGGTGTACATGCAGGATTACTAGCAATGAAAGTAAATTCTGACACTTGACAGCTTTAGTATCCCAGTGAAGGTTCAGAAATAAAATAGTCATATTCTTAGGTCTGTGGCCATGTACAGTATCAGTCATATTTTTTTATGATCTATTGGTCCTGAGATACTTGTCATATTTCCATTGCATGCTGTTTTTGAAAAACAGTAAGATGTATTACTGCAGGAGTTCTGAAAGCAATTGTTGTACTCTAATAATTTATTTTATTTGATGTCGAGAGTTATATTAGGTATTCTTAACAAACATACCAAAATGTTAGTTTCTAGTGATTCTTATTGACTTACCTACTTTATATACATATGAATATATAAATCTAGTGTAATATATGTTTACTACAATAAAGGATATCATGGTTAACAGTTTGGTTGTTTTCTTAAATATAAAGAACCTGAGTGAAAACTTAAGCTCAACAATAATTAATAGAAAGAAGACCTGTCATAATTGAGACATTTCGTGAGTGTCTTTTATCTCTGCAACAACTTGTATCGAAAAAATATCAAATAAAACTACATCTAATCTGGCGGAAAAATTGTTGCCTTTTATATTGCTGAAACCCTGTTTAATTTAATCAATAATAGAAAATATTCTATCCAAAACAAGCACTATTCCCAAACACCAGAACTATTACACACTTCTTGACACTCGTAGTCTATTTCATTTCTTGATGACGTCAACTCGGTGAAATGTGTGCTGCATTTCTGGTTTTTGGGAACAGTGCTTGTTTAGAATTAATCCAAGTCAGAGTTTCCAGTTCTACCTTTCATTGAGTAATATCTAATGGGTAATTTATATGGGTATATACATACCCATTGGACAGTTTTAGAGGAGTTTCAAATAAAAGAGGAATATTCTCAATTGGTCTACGTTTGGTTGTAGTATCAACATATAGTTTTACATGAGTTTCAGGCAAAAAACAAGAAGTATTCTCTATTGGTCTACGTTTGGTCGTAGTAGTAAAACACGGGAAATCTGCTATTTTGGAACTTAAATGCTCTTTAACCACATATTCTCTTCAAATTATGTGTTCTTCATCGTCTACATAATGCTTGTTGATTCTCTGGCCGTTCTTAAAGTCGTGTTGAGCGACACTAAAAATCGGATACGTTCTGCGTGGTCTATGAAACGAGTTTTAATAGCTCGCTTAATCTGATTGATGAACTTTTGACATAATTCTCACAATTTATTTCGTATATGTACGACTTTGTCAAATAATTTTGTTCGAAATGGTGATCAATAGACAGTATGAGGAGAATTCACTTCAATTAAAGTTTGGAAATAGCCAATTCCAGACTTTCGGAAGCATCAAAAATATACTGTCACGTAGGAGGTTTTGGCCATTTCAATTGTGTTTTTTTATCCATAGATTTCCATTATTTGAGTTTTGTTGAAATTTTTTGGGTTCACGGCAATGATTTACTCAATGGATGTAATAAAATGACATGATTTACCCGTATGGAAAACTGGATGTTTCAGGACAACTCAATCCATTTTCAACTAAGCTCATCCAGAAGAATGTTAGGTGTAAATAAAAACGTAAGTTAAAGAAGAGAAATATAATTCTTGGATATGTTAATTAGCCTATAATTGGTACTCAGAATTGAAAATCACAAAAAATATTAGTAAAGTAAATCTGTACCTTAAGATAATACCAAACTCGGCGTTTCGTCGGTTTGGGATTTATGAAAATAATGTTACGACTCATATATTGATGTCAGTATAGAAGGAGAAACATATCTTAATATATTGAAAGTATGATAAGATTGTTCCAAAATGCGGAAATTTTTTGGAGCGGTTTGCGCTACATAAATTATTCAAACTCTTTGAAATAAATACATTTTCTTAACGAAGCTGATTACTTCATTTGGTGAGTGATCTTTCAGGTCAGCTGACGAAAGAAAACCTGATCAGAGTCATACATCTTTTCGGCACATATATACGTACAAACACACACCTTGAGATGAAGCATCATTTAGGACAATTCTTACCTCACCCGACAGGGGTATTCATACGCCTTTCGCTGCAAGGCGGCGATAATATGATAGAATCAGCTGGAAAATCAAATTGATCTAGACGATATCAGAGTGGTAAACAAATGAAGTGATCAAGGCCATAGCCAGGGGGGGGATTGATCCCCCCGAAAGTTCTACAAGCATTGGCCATCCAAAAAATTGGCTTGTTTGATTATCACAGGAGCCATGAGAATAAAGTTAACCGCGGAAATGGAATTAATTATTGGTCTGTACCCTCTGGACCTGTACGTTAAGAAGGTTGCGTTAATGATCATGTTACGATTGCACACGGCTGGTATAAACCTCGAAGTAGGAATGGGTCAATTGAGACTGAGCCTATGGCGAGAAGCGCTCACTGCGCAACCAGTGATGCAATTGTACCCAGGGTTGTGGTTAATGAACCCTACAAAATACAAATAAAACAGAACACAGCGTCAGATGCTACAAATGCATTACGCATACATACAGATGACTCAAAAACCAAAGAAGGCTCAGAATGTGGAATCTACTCCAGATCATCAAAGCCTAAGGATTTAGTGGACAATGGGAAAAAATACCAGCGTGATTCAAACGGAACTGGCTGGTATCTCAATTGCCCCAAAAAAAATTACCAGGAAAGGAATTTCTGGCAAAAAAATAACAATCTGCACTGATAGCAGACAAGCCCTATTAGCCTAGAACAGACAACGTGTTACCTCAAGCCTAGTCCTAGAATGCCACCAAGATTTAGCAAAAGCCTCGGTAGATAATAACATTATCCTGAGGTGGACGACAGGAGTAATAAAGGTAATCTCATTGCCGACTCTTTAGCCAAGGAAGCGGCTGGACTAAGAATTTTAGGACCCAGTGGCACCTACGTCCTGATGACTTCGATAATTGAGGAACTAGCCACACATTCTCAATCCCTAAAGAGATGGGATGAAATCAAAGGATGCCATCTTGCCAAGATCACCCTTGACGACCCTGGGAAGCTGACGCCGAAGAAATATCTGGCGATGACCAGAATCTACGCTCAACAATAGGATTTGTGACTGGCCACTGTCAACTAAGAAAACACCTCCATAATATGTGTCTAGTAGACACACCTTCATGCAGGATGTATGAACAGAAAGATGAGACTGTCAGGCATGTCCTATGCGAGTGTCAGGAGTTATCGTCAAAAAGAGAGTGTGTGTTCAGCGAATCTTGGCCAACACCTGCCGATATAGAAAAGATGTTTCCTAGTGACCTGTCCACCTTTATGGAAAGGACTGGATCGACGATGACCTAGGAGGACATCTCCTCGGGAGGATGTACAATGGGTCACATGTGGCCTAAGTGTTGTGGGCCTATCACCCTCCCTACTTTACAGATACTATTGGAATTATAAAATCTGTTAGAAATTTTATCAAGACCTTGGCAAAACGAACCAAGTGATTGAAAGAGAATATTGAATAAAACTTCCCCGAAACACAATGGAAAAACCTCACGGCAATGTGCGTGCAAACTTTCAAAGATCCTGGCGACACTACCTGTGTCCACATGTACCCCTGAAATGACTTTCTCTTCTCTGAAACGCTTCAAAACTCATTTAAGAAACTCCACAGACGAGGAACGACTAAACGGTTTGGCGTTAATGTCAATCCACGGTAGAATTGATATCGACACCGAGGATGTAATTGATTTGTTTGCTGCAAAGAAACCTAGAAAACTAAATTTGATTTTGTAAAATGATGTTAATATTTCTGTAATGGTTTTCTAATAAATATATATGATCATGTAACACAATTTTTCTTCCTTTTCTTTCGTTGTTTTTATATTTCATGTTTTTCTACTGTTCCACCGAATCAAACCCCCCGAAATTGTTTTCTGGCTACGGCCTTGGAAGTGATGATAGGCAGCCGCTACCAACATACTATTATAGCCTTTGAGATTTTTTTTTCACATATAGTCAGTGGGCATACTTGAAGACTGGCTACAAATCAAATCATCTAAAGGAACAATTCGTTAAGGCCAGTCTCAACTCCCTACACTGTAGGTTAATGGACTGACACCTATCAAAAACAACTACTCCGACAGGTGTCAGTGCAGGATTCTTCTATTATTGGAAGTGTGTTCCAATAATTGAAAATCTATTGCAGTAATTGTGTCGCCAACAGCATATACATGAATAACTTCAGTGAAGAATCCTGCACTGACATCTGTCGGATATAATCCAACGCTTTTCGTGGTATTAGCCAAGGAAGTAATTGTTTTCTGTCAGTCCATTAACCTACAGTGTAGGAAGTTGAGACTGGCCTGAACGAATTGTTCCTTTAGATGATTTGAGATAATAGTTGGATCACTATGGTCACATAATCGTTGGGTTAGAAGGTGGACAAGCAATTTGCTTGGTTTTTGAGGACAGTTGAGTCAAGTAATGTATTTGTGGTTAAGTCTAGCACCACTGATAGATGTAGGCGGGTAGATACAGCGCTGTATGGTGTTGGAATATGAATGGATCTTCGTATGGAGAGATGTCATCGTCTTTACGTATTCTATTCTTAATACTGCCTTCCCCAAACGTATTAATAACAGGAAAAAATAATGTCTCATGATTATTTCATATCGATAGTAATAATAATGAAGGTCTTTATTTCCCATCATAAATAAAAGTACAAGAAATACAATACAAAAATTATTTACCTACATGGTGGGAAAAGGACAGAGATCAGATCAGCTGCAAGCAACCCCTGTTATTACTCTCAAGCCAAGTGTTTAATAGTTATTGTTAATATGGCTTCCCATAAATCTCTTATACAAACAATTATCAGAATGACTGAGATTTCTATTGAGAATCTATTTAGCTTATTGACATATGTCTGTTGATATATTAACTTGAAAGTGAGAGTTTCAGTAGCACAGAAATATTTTCTTAAATTTATATAGATATCGAGAGCGCTGTAAACCTAATATTTTTGCTCAAATTATAACTTATATTCCTTGACTACAGATTTAACAAATTGGACTTCTGTAGCAACTTTTGTGTTCAACATCATTGAAAAGACACTAAGCTATGCCTCTGTGTGTCTTCTTTCCTTATATATGAAATTACAATCACTAGATAATTTCTATCATATTTAAAAAATTATCCACAGCAAAATGATTTTTAAGGTTATGAAGTATTTAATGTTTTGCCAATCGCAATAAAGTATTTAGAATGGTGTTTCAGTGACAGTGAATAATTTTTTACTATCTAAACTCTTTCTAATTAAGAGCAGTGTTTCGAAGAATAATTTCAACTGCTCATTATAAATTTTATTTTTTATGTTATTTCAGAGAATGAATTATTGAATCATTTCAGTAATATATTTGAAGTTATATTTCATTAAGTGCTTCCTAATCGAAATTTAATTGAAAATTCTTTAAGGTAAAAATTGAAAGGGGTGTTTTTTAATTGATGAAGTCTACAAACACATCTGATTGGTCATGTTTATATTTTACAGAACTGTGTATAAGTCTATATACATTGAAACAAATACATAAAAGTATTCTATATAATTATAACAAATAAATTATTTGGACTTGAACCTTTGTATCTGCTTCCTGGGAGTTGGTTGTCTCTGTCTTGCTAAGAACGACTGCCCTTGTCCAACCCCCAAGACACTCAATCTCTCATCAATTGCTTCACGGTGGCAATTCAAACTCAACTTATAGTAAGCAGATGTCAAAAGTCGTTCTTCCATCTCCTTCATATTGGGCTGCCTCAATGATGAGTCTATGTCACCATTTGTTTTGAGCTCTAGGTGCTGAGCCACTTCTCTAGCCTTTTCCACACTTCTTGTGTACTTTGCCTGTACAATTTGTAACTCATTCTCTTTTGCGGTAAGGGCTTCTTGAAGCGTTTGCAACTTCTGGGCAAGTTCTTTGACTTTGGAGCTGTTAGATGTGTTCTGATTCTCTCCCTGTTGGTTCTTCATTTCTTCGATCTGTGCTTCCAATTTCAATACATTCTGGTTCAATGTTCGGTTCTTTTGTTGTAATTTTTCGATCCTATTTAAGGAGCTATCCAATTGAATTTGCTTTGATTCCATTTCCTGACAGGAACTTCGTAAAGTTCGGTTTTCTTTCTCCAGAAAACGCAACCTCTTCTCCATATCAGCTGGTGTCAATTCTTGAGAAACTGCAGCTCCGCTTTCACCTTTGGGGCCAAGCTTTAGTTCTTCATTTTCTTCTCTCAAGGAATCCCTTTCAAGAATCAAACGCTCTTTTTCTCCCTGTAAAGTCACCAGTTTGGAATCAAGTTTATCTAGATTGAACTGAGCTTTATCAGCTCTCTGTGTTTCCTCATCAATTTTCTGTTGAAGTTCCCCTATTTGATTTTTGTAAGCATCACATTGTGCCTTCCAAGTATTGTTTTTAGAAAGTTCCTCTTCCAACTCCATATTTTTTTGCAAATACTCCATAAGAGTATTTCAAATGCTTATAGATTATTTTTTACTTTAGAAACATCGTGCTTGATACATAGACCAGATCCCTTACTTGGCCAGGCTACTAATGACAAAGCACCCGTGAGAGAAAATGAAATAACTCAATTCTATGCTAATTTTGAGGTTATTTCTCAAGTTATGCAATCAGACCATTTATTAATGGAATAAAAAGGATAGTACCTAGGACTAATAATGCGGATTTATGAAATCTCAACATGATGCATGAATTTAATGTTATATATGTTGACGCCAAAGTGGGTTTTGCCACATGAGTCAAAAATTTTACCATATCAGTCCACGATATGCAGAGATATCTTTATAAATGCAGTAATGCATTTATAAAGATATCTGCAAATATTTCAGTAGAAATATTTGCAGAAAATGTTTAGGTCATTTCAATGCTCTCCGTAGTACTGTGCCAATGAAGTCACCATTATGGTCAGAATTTATGAACAGTTGGCTAGAAATGGACACTATTACTTATAAGTTATGTAAGTTGTTTGCGGTGAATAGTTTTTTCAGGGACAAAACACAAGCACTACAGAAAAATCCTTAAGGCGCAAGAGCGGTGCCTCTGCGAAAGTAACGATTTGTGTTGGATTTGAATCGCTGAAGACTGAATCCATTTGGAAAAACATTTGAACCTCATAACGATGAGCAGCCACAGTCTGTCATGTATTTCTGATATGCACCACCCTTGGTGGAATCAAATGTGCCAAGTAACACTTTCCGTGAAAGTATCTATAGAAGAGAGATAAATCTCCAAACCTTCCTCCAATGTTCCAAACTATCAAAGTTGCAAGTGATGTTTACATCTCCAATCAGGCGGATGGCTCTTTTCTGAATGGAATCCAACAGCTTCAGGGTATGCTTGGGGCAGAGCTCTATACATGAGAACAATACTCCAAAGAAAGCCTGATCTGAGCTTTATAAAGCATCAAAAGTTGTTGAGGTGTGTACAGGTTTCTGGTTCGGAACAGTCTTTCAAGCTTTCAAGAAGCAGCCTTTGCAATTCCAGCGACATGATTGTGCCAAGACATATTGGTGTCCATTTCAACTGCCAACAAACTTATTGAAGCAGAAAGTGGAATTTTTGGAAATAACAATTGAAATGTAAAACCTGCACTATTGCAATTCTATACCACGGTCACAACAGACCAAGCAATTGGCATGTAGGATATGATCAAGTGTATCATTCATCTTGACCTATGCAGAGACCCGGTCACAAGAAAGGGACTATTCTTTCACAGGCACTATCTCCGTTATTTGAAAAGATATAAAGATGAAAAGCTAATAATCTCCACCATCATTGAGAACGTAATAAGCAAGTTTTTCCAAAAGTATCTTTAATTTATGTACCTTATAAATGAAATGAAGGACGACTTTATTCTGAATTTAGTATTGCAATTTAGGGATTGTTACAGAAATTCCGCAATACTTTGTCTCAGGATTGTTGTGAAATATCACTTGCAGCTGTGCAATTCAGCACTGCCTTCTCTCAGAGGATGGAACTTTGTGGACTAATGACATTTTGATCCAATTTACAATTATTTTTGATCATGTTTCTATCTTTTCAAATGAATGAGATGTTGCCTGTGAAATACATATCAGGATACCATACATATTATAGATATAATATACAGGGTATATTATAGGGCATATTATATGTATAATATACAGCATATACAATATTTTGAGAATCAATTATTAATCATTGAACAGTGACATATTATATTTACCTAAAATCAATCTTAACAATTTGGCCAGTTGAACAGGATCATTGCTTTCACCGATTTTGGTAACATCGGGACGTCCTATCTCTAAAATTTGCAAACTATGAACGTCTTGGTAATATTCTATCACAGCTTCTACAACTTTTTTCAAGTTACTTATTTTCATACGCCAGTTATTCGAACTAACGTCCCTCTTAATTTTAGGTTCCAGTTTACTGAAATGTTCTACTGATATTTGTAGGAGGGCATCCAACATTGCAACTCCATCACATATATCAGGTATGGTTCTGGTTTTTGTAGGAACAATTTTTTGTAACCATTTGGCAAGACTTTTGCACATTTCCTCACTTGGTTCCATTTTTATTTCTAACAATTGTTAGGAAATATGTGGAAATTGATACAAAAATATATATACTAGTATTGAAACGTATAAATAAATAAATAAATAGAAAGTTGACTTGACACTGACAGGTAAATGTTGCCAACATATAAATTCGAAAGTCGGTAGAACCATTCCTGTAAAATTGGTAGATTTGAAAATAGAGATATAAACAGCATTCAATTGTAAAAAATAATCATTGAATAAAAAACAAATATTTCTTTCATCAAAAAGCTTACAAAAATAAAAAAATTCGTAATGAGTCAAATATGGCAAGTAGGTAACAAATCTAATTTTCAGTTGATGGAAATGAAATATACAAATTTTGCTTGTTCCTATAAGATATTAATTTTTTATCAATAAGAAAATTGTGGCACGTATTATTACCTATACATTCCCTAGTATGTAATAATCCTATGATACTTTCTGTGTTCAATTTGTTTCTCTGTTTAGTTTTCATTAAATTTATAGAAGAGAATACTCTTTCTACATTAGCCGAGGAGTCTAGAAGAGTTGATATATTGAAAGCAAAACAACTCAAAATATTGAACATTAAAGATCTATCACCTAGTTTCAGTTTATTTACTTCTTATCAAAATAATACAGCGTCAAAGAATTATTGAATTTCATCGGTATTTATCAATAACAGCTATTCAAAATCAAGTGTTTGTAATTCGGTAGCATTTATTAGATTCAGAAATAAAGGAGTCACGTCATAGATAGAGCTTACTGAACCATCTTTCACAATGCTAGGATCAATGAAATTGAATTATTTTACTATATTTTATATTTTCTTTAATTGAAAATCTCTGAATGATTTGGCTATATGATTCTGCATAAAAATCCAAACACCTTAATCTAAAAAAATTACTTGTTCACTTTTATGTTCAATTCTAACAAAGATTCTAATAGATTTCTTCAATTGGTAAATAGTTACAAGGATTTTTGTATTCTACATTTTCTATTTGAGTTATTTTTAAATGATTCCGTTTAATAAAACAAGAAACATTTGAGTATTTGCTTAATATTCCTATATAATTTATACAATTTCGGAGATTCTGATTTCATTTCTTTGTTTAGATTATTAAAGAAAGGTAAAGCAAAATTCAAAAACTGTAAAAGAAATTTAGTTGGAGGATCGTTAAATTTCGTTAAAATATTTTCTGCAGGTGAAATACTGGTCTAAAATTCTAGAAACAACACCATGTGCCGACAACCCCAGAGTTTGCGAAGGATGTAGAATTGTATGAATTTTAATCCCACTAATGCATATTTCGATCCCAACATAACATTTGCACCATCTGATGCAAACCGCTCTATCATTTCACTCTTACATGGAATGTTTTTATTAACAAATTGTACTATACGACTATATAGTGTCGCAGCATCCGTCCCAGAAAGTTTAATTAAAGCTAAGAAATTATCCTGGATATCGTAAGTCATTTACATATCTCACCACTAAACATAAGTGTTTTATTGTGCTTCTATCTGTTGATTCGTCAAAACAAAGTGAACATTTCTAACGTCTTGGCAGGTTAATGCAAAACTTTGACGTCCTAATACATTTTTAACCATAGCACCAACTTTTGTTCGACTATATGCTAGTCCCTTAGCAATTTTCGAATCAGGGCAAATTTTTTCTAGTTACTTTGGAAATGTGTCATAGTGTTAAATGGTAGATTATGTTCAGCAACAAACGTCGCCGAACGTATTTCAGCTAAAAAAATAAATCCATGAATTAACACGAATAATATGTGGGTCAAAAATTACACGACTTACCTTCAGGGGATTCCCGAATAGGAAGGAAAAGATGCTCTATTGCTATCGGTTTGAAAATGTGCGTTTTTTTATGTAGGGTTGGCAACACTGTTTGACAGGTGACTTAACTGAAGATATGTTCCCAAAGTAACTAGAAATGTGGTTTGGTGTTTGGAAAATCACCGCTATTGTAGTTCTACTGAAAACCCGTTTAAATATGGAACATGGTTTCCAGAAACCGCAACTCATAATCTCAAAACAGTAATGACTCCGGTCATCATCCGTTTCTACAATCACCCATTAATCTGTTAAATGCGATGATATAGATTGGTGTAAAGATATTTCATCGATAGCTCACAAAATTTTTCACTGTGATTTTCATATCCAACTCTTGAAAAGAAACAGCTGACTTCAATATTCAGTTTGAATATTATAAAATCAATCTATTGTGAAATGTATAGTAACAGTGTATTGTCTCTAGTTTTCTCATCGAAAATGATTTAGCAGTTGACTCATCAATGACACAATGAACACAGCCGCCCTGTTTGAAAAATAACCAACAATAATGATTTTTTTCATGAAAAATGAGAAATAAAACTTCCTATGTTTTTATACCACTTGTATTTGTAACTAATGTTACTGCAATTTCGTCCTACAAGGACACTTTCAAATTGATACAGTGTCAGTGGCCATTAGATGCCGAGACACGCTAATATTAATAAAAAAAAATAATAATACAATAATCTTTTATAATTGCAACGGACCATTATAGGATAGGTGTACATATTGCTTTCCTTTTTCCGGTAAGTGTAGTAACAGTTTGCCAAGATGTTTTCGATTCCTTTTTCAAATCAGCTATTCTATGCTCATAATAATATCATTATTTTCACTAATCAAGATATCAAACATATCGAATGAACCATTAAATTATTCCATTGGATCAATCGATGGGTTCATCGATGAATTTGAGAACTCGGTGTATTCAAAACTCAGGTGTCTTTTGTTGGCACTAATTTCATTCCGAAAGTTATTCGCTCATGAAGAACTTTTGGCGAGAAAGACTCAATCTGGAATAGGATAGTAAATGGTAACAAAACATATTTGATGCATGATCGAGCAAGAAACGAGTTCCTAAATCCTCCGATGAGTCTACAGATTGATCCGATGGACTCATCCGAAATGTTACACGTTTCTACTGGTCGAAGCCATCCTTTAGAAGTTTGTTGTTGAGGCGGGAATGATCTAATCTAGAATAGAATTAGTGACAACAAAACTCACCTGTCAAATAATGAAAGTTTTTTTCCTGAAAGATTAGTAAGAAGTGGGGTTATGTTATTTATCACAAATTTGACAAATTGTTTTTACAAACATCGCTGTGGCAAAACGTCCATAACATTCATAACCTTTGACAATGAAGGGTATTATTGAATGTTGATCGAGTAATTTTTCAATCATGATTATTTAGAATGGAAGAAGATAATGAAAAGTCATCGTTTTGGAAAAAAAATATTAAACCTGTAGCGGGAAGGTACTCGCATCTGACTACATAAAATATTCACTTATTTCAAGTATTTATTTTTCAGGCCAAGCCCTAGACGAGAAAGTAAAGACATTAGGAAAACCCCGGGATCCACTTCTTTCCAGGATTTTCAGGCATCTGTAAGTGATGCTTGGGATATGGATGATGATGAGTTCTGTATTTTGTCAGGACTTGAAAGTGAGTTGCAAAATGAATGTACAATGAGCATATTTACAATTTGTCATTTTCAGGTACCAAGATATCTAAAAAAGTTGCACAGTCTGCTGCCTTAAATGTTCTTAATACTCATCGAAATTCTTCAGAATGTGAAGCATCTTCTGAAAGAAAACTACCAAAAAAATCCAACATTCTTGAATCAGAATCACATAAAATTAATCGAATACCAGGTAGACCTAAGCAAATATTATGTTTTCACTCTGAACAAGAAGGAATTGAAAGTAAATTAGAGCGATTTGAGACTCTACTACAGGGTTCACCTAATTTACAAGAGTTATGCAAATTGAGTTGGTCTGGTATACCTGTCAAAGTGAGAGGTATTACCTGGAGATTACTCTCTGGGTATTTACCAATGAATGTGGAAAGGCGTAGTGAAATGTTGGAAAGAAAACGACACGACTATTGGGCCTTAGTAGAAAAGTATTATTATACCGAACATGATGAAACGAATCGTGATATTCAGCACCAAATTAATATTGATGTGCCAAGAATGAATCCTTCAGTACCTCTATTCCAACAAAAAACGGTCCAGGATATGTTTGAACGAATATTGTTCATATGGTCTATTCGCCACCCAGCATCAGGTTATGTTCAGGGAATAAATGATTTGGTAACACCGTTTTATGTGGTGTTTCTACAAGAGTTTATAAAAAATGAGGAACCATTCGAAAAGTTTAACATTGACGACTTGGCTCAAGAACAGCAAAGAATAATAGAAGCTGATTCATTTTGGTGCTTATCGAAATTTTTAGATAGCATACAAGACAATTATGTGTTCGCGCAAATAGGCATACAGAAAAAAGTATTGCAGCTGGAAGAGTTGATAAAACGAGTGGATGAAAGTTTACACAAACACTTGAAACAGCACAACGTGAGCTACCTTCAGTTTTCTTTTCGCTGGCTGAACAATCTGCTTACAAGGGAACTACCCCTGAGGTGCAGCATAAGGCTTTGGGACACGTACTTGGCCGAAAATGATTGCTTCGCCACCTTTCAGCTTTATGTGTGTGCCGCTTTTCTCCTTCATTGGAAAGAGGACTTGATGCAACAACGTGACTTCCAAGGGCTTCTTTTACTACTACAAAATCTTCCAACTCAATCGTGGACCAGTTCTCAAATAGGTGTGATGGTTGCTGAAGCTTATAAACTGAAAGTTATGTTTGCTGATGCGCCAAATCATTTGTTAAGTAATAACTGCGGTGATAGTTGAGTGAATTAGAATTTTATTGATATTATATTGTGTCCAATGTTATATTTTTTGTATCAGGCAATTTAATTATATTGTTAAAATATTAACTTTGAGTTATGTGATATTTATAATGTTCACTATATTATCACTTTTCACGTATCTGTTTAGATTCAACTGTTTGACTTCACTCCACTGAAACTGAAAAATAATTTCTATTCATCAAATGTATTTTTCTTGGTATATGGAAGCAGCCTAGTAGTAACTGTTGGGAAGTTATCGTTTCATCTAATTACTGAAACGTTATACAGGGTGTTTAATATATAAGTTGAAAACTTCAGAGAGTGATTCTATGATGAATTTTAAAATATGTAAGTTGAAAAGGATTTATACATATACCAGGTCCTTCCACAGGAAGACTACAAGAGAGCTCTGCAGTTATTCCTCTATGAATGTCTTGAGAATCTTTGTTTAAAATGTATACTTAAATTGCCAGTTGAGATGTTTTTTGTTCACTTGCCATGAAAATATGTAATACTAGGTCTTGTCAATAGATGAACAAGTAATGTTTTTTAAGCATTGAGTACCCTGGGTACATTGCCAATTGCACAAACTGATTTAATGCAGAGTGCAACAGACTGTTGGTTGACACTGGAAGTAACAGCATTCTGGAAATGACCTCCGACTTTATGCCTCCAAGTGTCAACTACGAACTGCCTAATAAAGTACTGCTCCCGAGTAGAGAGGACTGGAACCTCTGGAAGAAGGAAACATTGAGAGCAGATAGTTGTTGGTTCACAGATGTATCAAAAACACCTTCCGGTTCTGGACAGAGATATCAACCAGCCTAAGAACCTATGCGACTGTATTTCAAGCGGAAATCTATGAATTTTGTGCGGAGAGATTGGAAGAATCCAACCTCATACACAAGTCAATAAAAATATTCTCGGACAGTCAAGCGGCGTTGGAAGCTCTTGGCTCCTACCGAGTAATGTCTAAATTGGTAGCAAATCACCAAAAACGAATCTCCTTGATAGGAAGACTCAACAGATTGTCTCTGGTTTGGATTCCTGGAATAAATGAGTCTGCTGACATCCTTGCAAAGGAGGGTGCTGCAAGCAGCTCCATCGGACCAGAACCTGTCATTGGCATAACTTTGGGCTTTGCCAAACAAACATTGAACACCTGGATGGCAAGAAGATTTATGGACTTCTGGCAGAATCTTCCAGGATTGGCTCACATCAAGGCGTTTATTCATCCTTCGAAACTTTATACCAAATAGTTGTTGGATTACAGGGATGAACTACGATGTCTAACAGGCCTTCTTACTGGTCACTGTCATCTGAATCATCATATGCAGGAACTTGAACTGTCGGAAGACAGTGTGTATCGCCTCTGTTTGGAAAATGATGAAACAGCAGAACACATACTTTGTGCCTGCCCCGCTGGGGACCGAATCAGGTTTTTAGAGTTCGGCAGAGCCGTACTCTTACCATCTGACCTGAAAGACCACTCACCATACAAACTAATGGGCTTCGTAAAGAAGCTGGGTTTATTTGGCCGAGTGTGTGCGGGTTGCGGTGGAGGGTCGAATAGACCCACTCACTTTGGACCTAAGATATTATTCGCAAATATATTACAGAATATGGCTCTTGTTGAATTAACACAAAATTACTAATTTTTATATTCGTTTGGATGAGGTTGACAATGTTCCTTGGGGAATAATTATTGATCACCCCAGGTATATTTTTTCTCCAAGATAATATTCGCCAAATCCATTACAGAGTATGGCTCTTTGAAAATTAACACAAAATTCACAATTTTCATGTTCATTTGAATAAGGTTGACAATGGCTCTTGAGAAATAATGGAGATTCGTTTCAGTTGGGTGCAGTGAATCTGATGGGTGTGGTATAAGATTCAGTTTCTTTCATATTTTTCTCCTTTACTCAGCTTTTACAAGATTTCTGACAGCTTGCATGAACACTCTGAGAGCTTGGCAAGAATCACTTCACATGACTCGAGGACGAGGTCGTAATATCTCCTTTGTCCTCAAGTCTCGTTACTAGCTCTATCTGTTTAAAATCTGTTTTTCCATTAATCAGCTGTCGCCCCCATACGAGCGACAACTCTCAGAAGTTGAAAAACTTCCTTCCTTACCTTTCAACGTGTGATTCCTAATACGGTTGCAGAATCATTCCAGCTTCAACCAGATAAATTCTCTCGAGAAAAATATCTGGTCGAGGCGGGAATCGAATCCACGGTCTCCCGATCGTGAGTCGGGCGCACTACCACCGCGGCCAATTCCACAACTGTGTTTGCTGTGTTCCACTCTAAATTCGCACCGGTCACTCTGTTGTTCGGGGCCCATATTTATATTGTTGTAGCAGGTATCTGGTTTCCTTGACGCAAGAATTCTGATTTGTTGTTGTGAAACTTCGCTAAACACTCAATTGGAAAATGTTTACGACACTGTTTTTGCTCGAGTGTGAGCAACCGCGGCACCCATCTTGCACACAGCTTTATGATGTACACATTTTCAGATAATATACGATGTACTGCACTTTTTGAAATACCTACTAAGTCGTCACCTCATTTGGTCAACCACAGCGACGCTCGTCTTGGCAGCTCGTTCGGCAACTCTGCTACCCAATATTAAACGTATTGTACCAAAAAACGATACTAATTTTCTCCATAGCAACTACCGCTATCTCTAGTTCAGGCAAAGAGTACTTCTAGGACCACCCTCGTAGTATGAAACGAAGTCGCTTTCCGCTGTATGTTTCTATGTATGCTTAGAAATGGCTTAGAACTTTAAAACTACGCAACGGATTTTGATGCGAGTTTTCTTAATAGATTGAGTGATTTAAGAGGAATATTTATGTGTATATAACCTGCATAATATAGTAGAGAAACACTGATAATTTTAGAGGTTTCCAATGTGATGTCGTAAATGAATACATTTTTTTGCGCTTACATTGCAAACGCTGGCTGAACCCTTCGAGATAGCTCAAAATAATGTACTACAGTGTTGTAGAGTATTTGTGAAAAGGTCTACAAAAAGTCCGTGGTGGTAGGTATATGTGTATCTCTCAGGGACAACCCACAATAACTATTTCTTTATCCTCGAGAAATAATGGCATATTTACGAAGCGGTTTGAAGCAATACAGCACTAATCCTTATCCAAGTTAGTACCTACCTACCTTAAATACACTGTGTGTTTAATATTGATCAATATTGCCCTTTAAGTATATAATTTCAATGAATATTTTCGAAGATATCACAGATTTTAAATGCAGGGACGTAGCGAGCGGTTGCGGCAGTACCGGGGAGAGGGGCGGCGGTACCGGTCGGGGGGCGGCGGCGCGGGTCTATAAATAGCACGTCGAAGGCCGCACTTTCCAAAGGGTAACGGAGCAAGGCTCCAGCCTGAAAGATATCAAGATGACTATCGCACTTTGCCTTATAGCACTTTATGATTAGCAGCGCACGCATTTATATGTATTTAGTATCAGCACAGATTAAATATTTAATCTGTGGTATCAGCAATGCGCACCCGTGCGGAGTCGTCCAATTAAAAATAAAATAAAATTTGCATACATTCAAAATGAAATGATGCCAATAAAATTATGATTTCACCCATTGGACAGCTCAAGTGTTCAATTTAATTAAAGAAGAATTCATTCGTGGTAAGTTTCATTTTTGAATTGTCATATATATAGTGGCACAGGAGGCGTCACCAACCCCCTATCAGTTATATCCCATAATGCTGTGGGCACCAATAATGTATTTACTAGATGATAGTGACAACCGATTACTTTGGAAGAGATAGAACTGGAGAAACTGAAATAAGAACCCACCGAATAATGAGCCACAATATAATGATCCACAATAGTCCTTCAGTCAGAAATTTAGGACTTGAAGGAAGAAAATCGTCTTATGGAAGAATACTGGTCTATTTGGTGTAACAAGAGGATTCTAGTGACACCAATCAAATGATAAGTTTTTTTATTTTTTAATTTCTCAACAGTTATAATTTTATTTTAATTTGCTATTCAAAATTATTCAGATCCATATCGGACCAATATGAAAATTTATTAGTGAGTCTACTACTTATTATTAAATACATCTTGTTCTCCACTTTTCCACATTTTGACTACTAATACAATTGCCATCAATTTTTGTTTCAGAGCTGGGGTATCGAGGGGAAATATTGATACCACGAAATAATGATTTTTAGGGAAAGTGACTCACCGGGTTGGCTTCACTTATCCCTGTTCAACATATTTAATAATTCTCTATCATGAAATTTTCACAAAACAATTCACAAAACCATAACATTACGTGTTTCAATATATAATGTCGTTTTTAGCATACTATACTGCACAAACTTAGGCATTGGATTGAATTTGAATTGAATTTATCGAAAATTGCTCACAACTATTATGATGAAGATATTATTGACTCCATTTAAAAAAAAACTACAGAAATGAACTATGAACCATGATCTATCCAACTTCAAGAAGCGAGGATAAACGTCACAGAATATCAACCTACGTTGAATATGAACTAAATTGGATGTAATTCGATCTCGGTCAAAAGGGGAGAAATTTCCCATAGAGAATAAAAAATAAAAGATCAACAAGGTTGTTTCTTGCAACTAAGTGTTGCCCATCCTTGCATTCAGCTACACCAAACTAATGAGTTCAATAAGCCAGAAACACCAGTCTACGGTTTGCAATTTTTGAGTGCCTTGTCCATAATTTTTTTTCATTTTGATATTTATCATTACTCATATTATATATCCTGGACCCAGACGTGACACAGGTAGCTAGAGCTGTCTTCCTGCAGACGTTGGTGAAGTCATTCACCTGAAGCGATGTGATCGAAACTACAAAGTGTGTCTGACCTTGTTGATGACTTCGTACTCTGTATAATTGTATTGCTTTTTGCAACTAAGAGTTGTCCATCTTTGCATTAAGCTACACTGTATTGAAGTCAATGAGCCAGAAACACGTGTCTAAGTTTTGCAATTCTTGAGTGCTCTGTACATGAGTTTTCTTCATTTTGGTTTTTATCAAAATCACTCAGGAGACCATCAAGTATATAA